TTACAGAGAACGGTCCGAAAAAGAGAAGATATCCAGTGAGCGGCAGTTTTTGAAATACTCAGACCAGCCTGTCTGGCACCAGCAACCATGCCACGTTCAAAGTCACTTAAATCCCCTTTCTTCCCCATTCTGATGCTCGCTTTGAACTTCAGCAAGTCCTCTTCACCACGTCTAGATGCATAAAGGCATTGAGTTGCTGCCATGTGATTGGCTGATTAGCTATTTGTGTTAACAAGCAATTGAACAGGTGTGCCTAATAAAGTGGCCGGTGAGTGTATATATATAGATGGAAAACAAAACACTGTACAATGGCTCACCCAGACTGACAGAGATCCCTCTGAGCAACAGTAGAATGAGAATAGACAGAATGACCAGTCATCAGAATGTCTGTAGACCGGACCAGTATCTTTCCGATACTGACTTTGGTGATCCGCTGACTTTTTGTGCAGCACCACAATAAGACTGACTCTTTTGATTTATACTGAAAGTTTTGAATGGATTATTGTGGAATTTGGTGCACAAATCCATGTTCCTGGAGGATGAAATGTAATAACTGAGGCTGTGCGATGTGTAAATGGGGTACGAATGTTATTTAGTTGTGATGGGCAGGTGACACGTTGCATTGTAGCCCCTTTAATGGGTGTTAGTGGGTAAATGACAAATAGTGTTAAAGCGCTGTGAGTGGTCGGAAGACTACAACAGCGCTATACAAGTCCATTTACCATGTCGCTCACCCATTCATACAATGTTGGAAGGGGCTACCATGCAAGATGTCACCTGCCCATCAGGACTAACTAACATTCATCCAACATTCACACACAGCCTGTTTTGCCCAAGGACACATCAACATGTACGCTCTGTATATTTGTCAATAGCAAATTGTAGAATGCTAACACGCTCATGGGGAGCATGGTAAACATTATACCTCCTAAACATCAACATGCTAGCATGATCATTGTGAGCATGTTAGCATGTTGATGGGAGCATTTAGCTCACGTAAAGCCTGACAGACTCTTGTTTACGTTTTAGGACAACGTTGTTCATCAGATAAATCTTCTTTTATGATATGGTTAATATTGTTCCCTCTGATGTGAATAATATTTGAATGGGTCGTGCTCTTCAGTGTGTGGCGTCATAATGAGGTTATTAGGAGGAGGTTCAACTGTAGTAGGACAGCACTGAAGGCCCAGGTATGAAACACACGTTTTAGTATATAGTGCGAGTGAATGGTTAAAAAGTATATGAAAGTAGGATTTCATGCTATGATTGAAGCTATCTACATACAAACAATGGTCGTCCACATGTCACTCTGTGTCACCTTGATGAAGCTCCATCCCCAGTTATGGGCCAAGTCATCTACAGGTAACTGAAGCTAAAGAAGTAGCCAGTAACAATCTGTTCATAGCAGACAGTTAATGCCACATCGGCAGACTTACTGCTATAATATCAATGTTCCTGATTTTGATTCATAATGAACTCATCAGACACAGCACCATCACACTGACCTCGTCTATCAGCACCAACGGGTTCTCTGTCTTGGTTTTCTTCAGGCACTGGATAATCTTCCCTGGCATTGCTCCAACATACGTCCTCCTGGACACACACACATAATCACATTTCAGAAAATCAAATCAGATGTATGCTTTATGCTGGTGGTGAAGTCTCTCATTTTGCATTTGTAAGAATATTCTCGTTATCGGTCCTGAAATTCAACATCGGTGCATCTATAGTTGTAACTGATCACATTGTCGGTGCAGTTAATCCTAGAATCCGTTGTCCTTTTCCCGTTGAACATCTCGTTCTCTTCATGCTCAGCACCTGCCACATACCAGAGACAGGGCCCTGAATGTGAGCTATCATAAGCAGTAATGATGGCAGTATAGACTTCAAGACCTGTGTCCTTTGATCTCAGCCACATCGGTCATGCCTCCCACGCTGAACCTGTAGTACTGTCTGTTGAGGGCTCTGGCTATGGAGCGGGCAATGGAGGTCTTTCCTACACCTGGAGGGCCATAGAAACACAGGATCTTCCCCTGGGTGGAGCCACGCAGCTGGCTCACTGCTATGAATTCCTGCACAAACACAGAGAGGAAGTCCAGTTAATGCTCCACAGCTTTAGATGTGTGGATAGCTATATTTAAACATTCCTCATCCAAGTATAAAAGTACATATTGTGTATTTATTGTGCTTTAACTGGTGTTTGAGTGTGTGCATATACTAACCAATATGCGCTTCTTTACATCATCCATTCCATAATGGTCTTCTTCTAGAACCTCTTTGGCTCTTCCTAGTGATAAGTTCTCTTCACTGTTGGTACCCCAGGGCATGCTGGTCAGCCAGTCCAGGTAGTTACGGGTTACACTGAAACACAGAGTGGTTGTTGTTGTGAAACAGAACAGAAAGGGTTGAAGCATGGACAGAACTCCATCTTGCTCTCTACTCCTCTTGTCCAGAATAGAGAGCGTTGGAGGAGACGGTGCTGCTGCACATGTGAAGACATGTTTATCTGTTAAGGTTTTAAATGCCGTCACCACTTCATTCTTTTACATTCATTGCACTGAAAGTTATCTTATCTAATATCATCTAGAAACAAATAGAGTTATAATTCAATTACTGTGGTGTATTCAAAGCACCCTGAGCTGTCTCTAGTGCCACTAATAAATGAGCAAACGTGCTCAGTACAATGACTCAGATATGCAAATGATTCAAATAATCTGAAAGAGATGAGTGAACATCTCCGTCTGTCACAGCTGATTGTTGAGCTGACCAGAACACATTTGCAGGATCCTTTACAATCAATTCAATTGTACAGCCCAAAATCACAAGATCACCTCAGAGGGCTTTATGATCTGAACAAGATACAACATCCGTGGTCCTTGGACCCTCGCATCGGAAAAGGAACGGAGCAAAGAGAAACGCAGAAATAACTGCACTGTTCCTTGAGAAAAGCAAATGCCATTCATCACATAGGATTCATCTGGAGCTCTTTTAGAAACATTACATTTGGGAAAGCAGTAAATGTAAATCAAATCAAATCCTCTATTGCTCCTTTTGATACTTTAATGACTGCTTATAAATAAGACATCAAAGAGTTCCAATGCTTTCACTGAGCCAACAGCTTACTATTAATTCTGAGTACACAATATCAAAGTGACTCTGTAACTACACCTCTCAGGTCACTCTGCAGGCCTCCACTTCCTCTGCTGTTAGGAAGGCACCTCCAGCTATCTATTGCAGGATAGAGCCCGTATAGAGCTCCCTGCCCCATTCAGTGCTGAACAAATTACAAATATCTTTTATGTCTCAATTTCTGTTGGAATTTTTGCTTCCTTCTATTTCTAATGGGGGCGACCTGTGGCTCAGTGGGAGAGCAGGGTCGTCCTTTAATCAGAGGATCCCCGGCTCCACTAGTCCATGTCCATGTGTCCTTGGGCAAGACAATGAACCCCACATGTATGAGTGGATGTGAATGGGTGAATGATGACATGTAGTGTTAAAGAGCTTCGAGTGGTCGGCGGACTAGAGAAGCGCTTTACAAGTACAGTCGATATATTGCCACCTAGCAGTCTTCCTCTTCACTGCCGTTTGCTGTAATATTCTTACTTTTCTTCGCATCTTACAAACTGGAATAGTGTGAAACCATTGATAGGAATCTATATTCTCATGTGCTTGTGCACTCACAAATTCATCTATCGCAACAGATCTGCAGATTTAACAAATGATATGATCCACCTACAGGCAAAGAATGTGGTCTAGTAATGAACTGACTCATATCCCATATTCACGGTCTACTGTACTTTGTCCTGTATATAGCAACTAAGGGTAATGCCACTCTGTTTGGTAGTCATCAAGATAACTGGTTCCTAAAGACGAGCTACTGTAGTCAGCCAGCCTTCAGTAGCTGGTGCCGGCCGACCAGATGAAGCTCCTGCTAGCCGTCCCACGGCACCCCCAGAGCAGCCGGGAGGCAATATTATTATCCAACACTTCATAAACCTTCATTGTTATGCAGATAATAATGCCAGACAAAAACAACCAGTCAGCTAAATTCCAAGTACGCCTTAAGGACATGAAAACATGGATGACCTGTACTTTCCTGACGTGAAACCGACAAAACTGAAGTTAGGCCCCAAACATCTTATATAACGACATAGTTAGTCTAGCTGCCATTGTTAAACATCTCTGAGTAATCTAGTGGGACAAACAAATAAACAAGACCAACTTGAACTCTGACGAGTGGTTGTCCAGAAGTCCCAGTTTGTTGAGTTCTTCGTTGATGACGTCCATGATGTGATGTGGGACGGTCCTCTCTTTGAGTCGCTCTCTGAACTTCTCCTCGATAGCGTCTTTGTCCTCTTTCTCCAGACCTAGTTCCTGAAATCACATAGAACACACAAATTGTGCAGATGTTAACAAAATACTATCACCATTGCCGACAGTAATGCTATGACCTTACAGGAGAGATACAATATGATAAACACAGGTGCCATCTTCACATGAAATAATGCTACAACAAATACTACTACCTATGGCAGGGTTATATGATGCAATATGTGGCGGTTCAGATGTGTGCTGTGGTAGACCTACTCATCATTCAGTCAGTTTAGAAGCTGCACTGGTGTAACATAGAGGGAGAATAGGCTGCAAGAGTAAAGACTGACACAATGACAGACAGACGTCAGTCTGTTCTACCTTCTTAATGATCTTGAGCTGCTCCTGCAGCAGGTACTTCCTGTGGGTCAGTTTGATCTTCTCCTCCACCTGAGAGCAGAGCAGGGACACAGATGAAGGACTAAGGGTGATTAGCAGAGCAGTGGCTCATACTTGTTTGGCGATGACCTCCGACCTCTCGGCCCAGACGCTGCTGCAGTTTACTGAGCTCGTACTCCTTCTTCAGCAGAGACAGAGCCTTGTAGAGACGTTTCGGGATCTGCAGAGACACACAGCAATGGGTTTCAAAGGCCTGCACACGTCTAACTCATCAATAGAATTATTTCATATAAAGATATTAACATTTATATAGAAAAGCTGCAGGAAGCATCTGTGTTAGGTGCATTGGCCAAATCAACCACTTATTCCCCAACATATTGTGTCGTATTGTGAAAGGGGCTCACTGCTGCCCCTTATGGTTGATGGGTAAAACACAACACCCACTTTGACCGTGGTTCACACCAACCGTGGTTACTGTGGGTGTTTCCTTCCTAACCTGCCTCAGGGGGCAGTAATAATCACATTCAAACTCTCCTCATCAGAATGAACAGATGCCGTCCCTGTACTTGAGAAAGCCGCACAAAGTTGTGTGTATAATTGATCTGAACAGAATAACAGTACGTTTCATTTGAAGAGAAAGGACATGAAGGATCAGGACTACCTGTTTGGTTTGGCAAATGATCAACTTCCCCCCAGCTGTTACAGAGCAGCCCAGAGCCGCTTCCTGAGCTTTAATATACTATAGGAATCCACCAGGACTGTTTCCCACAGAGTGGACAGAACAGTCCCAAACAGGCCTGAGCACGGAGACTACTCACATTGATCTCTTCCAGGACGTCCTGTAGCTCCTGTGACTCTGCTCCTGTCAGAGCGGCTCCCATGTCGCTGAGGTAGATGGGATTATCAACCACTCTCTGACCTGCCTGCATCATCTGGAGGACCGACTCTCTGACGGACACACACATTCACAGCACTTAAATTAAAGAGAGTAGAAGGAGCTACTTCCAGTCATCGTGTTTAGGTGCTGCCTTTATGAATCACATCAACTTTCAGCAGATTGTGAGCAAAAGAGAATGAATTGTGAAGGAGACTTGTAGAGTAGATCAGAGTGTGCATGGAGGACGGTGTCGGTCTGTAGAGCCTACAGAGGGAACTTTATAAAACAAAGCTAACTTCGGGGTCAGCTCATCATTCACTGTTTTCTGTTGCAAACTGTGACGTCAGCCGCAAACATGTTTAAAAAAAGATCCTTTTGAAAATGACTGGCAGCGACTGCATCTGATGACTTTACATAAAATCTTTACATATTGCACATTACATGAGTTGATCTGCTGGCTGTCAACACCAACTGGCCCAGACTGGAACAGACCTGGTCCCATATCATATTCATAAGCAGCTCAACAGTCTGAGTATGAGGGTCCCTGTAGGGCCACAGCCAAAGAGGATTTCAGATGCTCAATCTAATTTGAAACTTTTTTTGTTTAAAAGTAGATTGGTGTCCGATACTGTATTTCACTCTTTAAATGAACCCACGACTTAAACCAAACCAAGCAGCATGCTGCATCCATTATCATGATCAGAACCAGGAGACTCAATCAGGAGACTGTGCATAAATGTGCACAGGACGGCCCTGATCTCCAGTCATGTAGTGATCAGTTAAATGAAATATATAATGAAGAAGATGAACAACTTTAACCCCTCAAATGAAGGGTGTCTCACACAGATGCAAACACTACATGAAACACATATATAAATATATTTGTTAACACAAAGGTAGCAGTTGTCAAACATTTCTAAATGTCTTTACGAACGTTAAGCTGCAGGTCTGCATGGTGCAGATAGAAGCTGACTGCACCATGAATAATGGAAGTAAAAGCTGAACAATGGGATGACAGTACAGATGGTGACAGACGACTGACCTGTAGAGGGGGTTCAGTGCAATGATGTCCCTGATGGTCTTCACTATCTCTGCTGTTAGCGCCTGCAAAACAAACACATTCCACAGAACCAAGTATTTAGACGTTTCCTTTGTAGTAAGAACATCTGTTTTAAGACACCTGTATGAATGAAAATCCCTTGATGAGATGTACCACTGTACCGCTCCCTACTGTTCATCACACGTGTGTGTTTGTACCTTGACCTCCTCTGTGACCGTGAACTGTTCATGTTGAATGTTGTCCACTTCTACCATCAGGATGTTGGAGGATGATAGAGGCTGAAGCTCTGGACTCAGGTCTGCTTCTGAAATCTGACCAACAACAACAATCAAAGTGAAAATAAATATAAACCACAAATACGTCACAAATATACACATATATATATACATACATACATATATATATACACATACATACATACATATATACACATACATACATATACATACATACATATACATACATACATATATACACATATATACATACATATACACATACATATATATACATAAATACATACATATACATATACATATACACATACATATATACATACACATATATACATACATATATACACATATATACACATATACATATACATATATATATACACATATACATATATATA